GGACTGGGAGCGGTTCCTGCCGCATCTCCTATTTGCTTACCGGGAGGTGCCGCAGGAATCCACGGGGTTTTCCCCGTTTGAACTGCTATTTGGGAGGAGAGTCAGAGGCCCCATAGATCTTATAAGAGAGCATTGGGAGGGAGATCGGAGCGCAGATGGCACTCCCATCATACCATATGTGTTGGCCCTCCGAGACCGCCTGGAAGCATTAACTAGGACGTAAGGGAAAACCTTCAGGCGGCACAGACCCGTCAGCGCACATGGTATGATCGGGGAGCCAGGGACCGTAGCTTTCAGGTCGGGCAGAAAGTGCTAATTTTAAAGCCTGTCCGACATGACAAGCTACAGGCCGCCTGGCAGGGACCTTATAGGGTGGTGGAACAGAGATGTGACACCACCTATATAATTGGCCCCTGCACAGGGACGGGAGGGCGACGCATGCTCCATGTGAACATGATGAAGCCCTACCAAGAGCGCTCCGAGGAGGTAACCGCCATATGTGCGCCCAATTCTGACGAGTTTGACAGCTTACCACTCCCAGATCTGCTGGAAGATGGGCAGCTGTCTGGGGATTTAGGGGAAGTCGCACTGGGAGACCGGCTGAGTCCGCAGGAGCGCATCGAGGTACAGCGGCTGTTGGAGGAGAAACGAGACACGTTCTCTAATGTACCTGGGTACACCCCTCTGGCCACTCACCGGGTAGAGACCCCAGGGCAACTACCCATGCGCCAGACCCCCTACCGCATCCCGGAAGCGGTAAGGCAAAACATGCGCAAGGAGATCGATGAGATGCTCCAACTGGGGGTGATTGAGCCCTCAGATAGTCCCTGGGCTTCTCCGGTAGTGCTCGTACCGAAGCGGGACGGTACGACCCGCTTCTGCGTAGACTACCGGAGATTAAACGAGAAAACTGTGTCCGATGCATACCCTATATGAGCCACTGGACAGAATGGCCAGGGGTCAATACCTCACTACCATTGACTTATGTAAGGGGTATTGGCAAATTCCCCTGGCCCCAGAGGCCATCCCGAAGTCGGCCTTTGTCACCCCATTTGGCTTGTACCAGTTTAAGGTCATGCCATTTGGGATGAAAAACGCCCCAGCTACTTTCCAGAGGATGGTAGACCGACTCCTGGATGGGTTCCAAGACTACACCTGTGCCTACCTGGACGATATTGCCATTTTTAGCAATACGTGGCAGGAGCACTTGGCCCATATAGGAGCGGTTCTAGACAGGATTAAGGAAGCTGGTTTGACATTGAAACCGGCCAAGTGCAGCATAGGGATGGCCGAGGTGCAGTACCTCGGACATAGAGTGGGGTGCGGCAAACAGAAGCCCGAACCAGCCAAAGTAGAAGCCGTGGCCCAGTGGCCCACCCCAGGACTAAAACCCAGGTGTTAGCCTTTCTAGGGACCGCTGGGTATTACAGAAAGTTTGTCCCTAACTATAGCGCCCTCGCCAAGCCCCTCACTGACCTTACCCGGAAGAATCTGCCCCGCCAGGTGACCTGGACCCCGGAGTGTGAGCAGGCATTCCAACATCTGAAAAATGCACTGATAAATGCTCCTGTCTTGGCAGCTCCCAATCCAACTAAACGTTTTCTTGTTCACACAGACGCTTCTATGTTTGGATTGGGAGCAGTACTGAGCCAAGTCGGAGCCGATGGCGGAGAACACCCCGTGGCTTACATCAGTCGCAAGCTGTTACCCCGAGAAGTAAGCTACGCCGCCATCGAGAAGGAATGCCTGGCTGTGGTGTGGGCCTTAAAGAAACTGCAGCCGTATCTATATGGACAGCCCTTTTCCTTACTCACGGATCACAACCCGCTGGTATGGCTAAACCGGGTGGCTGGGGACAATGCCAGGCTGCTGCGCTGGAGTTTGGCGCTGCAGCCTTTTGACTTTAATATTCAGTACCGCCCGGGTAAGCAGAATGGGAATGCCGACGGGTTGTCGAGACAAACTGACCTGGAAAAATTATCCGTGAGTCCCCGGACATCCCCAAGCCGATCCGTGTTGGATCAGACTGTGTATGCTGGCTTGTGGGCAAGGGGGAGCAATGTAGCGGATGGCACTGGGCTGTCCTGCAAATGTCTTTGAAATTACTGCATTCGTGTGATCTGCTAGTTTTCTATGTGTTTTAAAAGAATTGTATTCCTCTGATTGTTCGGTAGTTTCATTCCCTTAGTTTATTCGAATGAAAATACCGAACAACCAGACCTCCCCTGTGTGAAGTGTGTCCTCAATTACCCGTTGCAACATTGTTGCGAACGGGTAATTGACTAGTAAGTAGCCGTCCTTTGTTCTCGGGGGTGGCCGCCATTCGACAAACGAACACGTGGCGGCGGCCATTTTAAAACTCCCGAACAGCTGTGTTTTGCCGTCGAGTGTCTGGAACTAAAATCGGACACTCGAGTAGGCGAACACCGCTGAGACCTCCACAAGCCCTGTCCGTTCGGTTCCAAACTACCGAACGGCCCCTCGTTCGGTAGATAGAAAGAACCGAACGAGGGGATTCAGGCGAACCCTCCCTAGCCTCTATAGCTAGAGGTTTTCGTGTATTTAATTCCCTTATGCCAGGACCAACCGCAGGGCCCATTCGCATGGAACCTCATTCGGCTATCTCAGTTAGTGCGGTCAGTCATTTTATTCCCTCCATACATTTCCCGAACCCCTGGTCTGATCTGGGTGATTTTTGGATATGTTGTTCACCCAGATCAGGGGTATCTGGGGATGTAGGATTTAAAGCGGTACCCCTACGTTTAGGGGTACATCCAGAAACGGGGGGAATTACTGTACTGGATAAGGGGATTATGATGCTGGCTGAGGGGAGGAGATGTGTGGGAGGTTACCAGGACAGGATTGGCTACTGTAATAATTATTGTAAATCCCTCCCTTGCATGGGAGCATGCTTTAAAAGGAGACTGTGGATTAAAGCTTTCAGTTCTGCTCCTGAAACTGTGTGTCGTCCAGTTATTGGGATTGCTGTGGGGATATTGCTGTTATTTTACCTGCTGGAAACCTTGCCTGTGGATTTATTATTTGCTTGTTCCTGAGCCTCACTTGGATCATAAGCAGAGATAACCTGGGGAATATTGCATCTCCGCTACAAGTACCCTTTGTGACCCTATGCACTTTACTCATTATAACAGAAAATATTGCCATAGGGTCCACATTAGGTAGATAGATGTTAACCAGGGTATATAGTCTGTTATCTATGCTGCAAACCACAATTAAGTATCTGGCTTCACTATCTGCTTCTTGATATAAGATCTCAACTTTTAAATCGTTAAGAAAAATAGTTGCCACTTCTCTTTTCTTTTTATCTGGCAAAGAGGCCTGAAGAATTATTGGGAATTTGGTACCGCCCCATTTCTGCTGGGAGTCTCGTAACCAGTGGGTTTCTTGTATGTATTCTCTTCATTTAGGGAATTATAGAGCCTATTTCTTTTTTTTGTAGTGTTTAACCCCTGAGCGTTTATAGACATTAGCTTAAGCATATATACAGTTCATCCTTGTTGTATTTACAAAACCTACTCTGAAAAACATACAAACACCATATACAACATTCATACTTGTGTGACAAACCTCTTAGTGGTTTATCACTAAAAGTCCTTCTAAAATACCCTTGGGTCCGAAGGTCCCTTAAATCCGTTGGGGCCCGTTGAACCTTAACGGAAACAATGTAGTACAACTACACAAAGAGGGGCGAACCTCCTGGAGTGGGGAACTGTTGAGTCCCTTTTATCTTTCTTTGCCATTGTCTTTCATCTTACTTTATATAATTATTTCTCTATCTCTGTCCAATCACCTCCCCTATCCCAGAATAACCATTTGAAGGGGGAGTAAGAGATGGAGAGGAGGGAGAATTTAAAAAAAAAAAAACACATTAATTAATTCCTTAACTCTTACTTTCCCATTGATGTTATCCAATGTGTTGGACCATTATGTCCCTTTATCTTATTATCTGCGGACCTAATTAGACTTATAAAGCTTATGGCTTGCTATACCCTCCCCTTTACTTCCCCACACGTGAACCTAATTAGTAAAAAGTGTAGGATTACAATTATATACAAAAAATAGTGATTGTTACAGTGACTAAGAAGACCCTAAAAATTTGTATAATGCGTGTAGTATACGAGATTCTTCATAATAGAACCTTTACCTTGTATAGTTTACCTATTAATTACAATTTACGTTTTTTTAATTTCTATTGTGCCACTATTGGTAAAACTTATTATAATATATTAAGAAAATTTCTTAATCATACGTGATATATCTATAATCGAGCATTTCTCCATATAAAAAAAAAAAACAGTTAATTACTTTTCTCAACTCTTTCTTTCCATTAGTATTATCATATATGTTAAACCACTAAATTGCTTTGTCCTATTGTGTGCAAACCTCATTTATGTTGGTTATACGGTGAAAGTGACTTAGTATTACTCTAATAATTTGTATACTGTGTGAAATATATAAAAAGTTCTTCCTAATGGAACCTTGTGCCTTAAATAATTTACATGCTAATTAACAATTAACATAGTTTAGTATCTGTTGCGCCACTTTGAAAAACATATGTGTACTCAAATTTTAGAAACTTCATTAATCATAAGCGGAATATCTATACATCTATAGTGAACGTAGTCAAGCGCTTTCCCCGTACAAAGGAAGGGAGAACATGAAAAAAAAAAAAATTAACTAATTTTATATTTATCTAACAATTATTTACTCTGTTCCTGTGTTCCAATTGTAATTTTTTAAATTTTAGCCACGCTTGTAATTTATCGTTCGAGTCAAACAACTCCCTTTTATCGTCAAAAGTAATGCTTATTTTTAGTGGGTATAACCACCTATATCTTATATCATGTTTCCTAAGGATTTGATTGGATTTCCTCTTCATTCTAGTGTCATAAGATATATCCTGAAAGACGTTAACATTTTGAAAGAGTCCAGTTTTGATACGATTTTCCCTTGCAGCTTTTAACACTTTTTGTTTGAACTCATATGAAAACAAAACATGCAATAATGTCTCTAGGAAGATCAGCGTGGATTGTTTGTGGTTTGGCCAGTCTATGGCATCTTTCAATTATTTCTTCCTCAATGTTGAATAAAATATCCAAGGCTGTAAAGTATTCTTTCAAAGATTGCTCTAGGTCTTCTTGTTTGCCCAGTTCCTCAATGTTCCTAAAGCGCACATTTTTCCTTCTTAGGCGGTCTTCTAGGTAATTAATTTTGATGTCAAATTCATATAGCCTTTGATGAAGTTTTCCATTATCATCTTTTAATTTATTTACATGGAAATCCATTTCAGTGACTTGTTCTTTAAATTTCAGCATTTTTGCTGCAAGTTGATTCATTTCATGTTTGATTTCATGTCTAATCTCTTGTGAGTTAGTTGCCAGTTCTTTTTTTATTTCTGACAGGATATCGCTCAGGCTGATTTGTAATTGATGTACTGTAACCGTGTCTTTATCTTTTTTATCATCTAACTCAGCACTGTCTAGACTTATATTTGATTCTTCCATACTCTGTTTCGAATTTTTTTGAAGCCCTCTTTGGTGTTGAGAAGTAAAGTATGTTGTCAAACTTTTATCTTTTGCTGCTTCTTTTTTTTATCTTTTCTGGTAGAACTTTTAGAGTCTTGTGTTCTTTTGGAAGCCATTCTTAGGTTTCTTATTTTCTGTTTTAGCTTCCCTTTTCTCTTTATTTCAAAATCGCTCCTCCCCCTCTCTCTCTCCACTCTCTCCTCCCTCTATGCCTCCTCATATCTTCTTTTCTCATTTTTCAAATAATCCTTATTGGGATTACATTTAATTATTTGCCAATTAACTCAGCTGCAGTTTTCAAATATGTAATTTTTGGCCAGCACAACTCCCCATTTCCTTCTCCTTTAAATTATTTAGTATAAATGGTCAGAATGGCACCATAGAAAAAAAAAAAAGAAAAAAAAACAGAAAAAAAAACCAGAAGTAAAATATATTGCACTTATCTTACAAGGTGTCCATCGAAATTTCAGCTTCAATTTAGTTTGAGTAGATAGTGTTGTTTGAGCTTTATGATTCACCATTTGGCTTAGCTGCTGTACAGTGCAACGTTGTCAATGGGAGGAGATAGAGTGATTGAATCAAGCTTGCCGTGCGGTGATTGGCGTTCCCAGCAAAATATTCTTACCGGCTGGGTCACACGCTGCCCCACAGCTTGTTTAGTAGCTGTTAGAAGGGAGACCGTGCTGGAGGTTAGTATGGTCGGGAGCTCAAGGAGCCAGGTAGCCAGAGTTATCATCAAATAGTATCCAAAGTCTTGCCGCAGCTGGTTAAGGCTTGGACGAAAACGCCATGAGGGAGAGTAGGTCGGGGAGATAGTTCAAGCGGTCGTTGGGCTGTTCCAATCTATAGCGGATGCCCATCCTCTTCCGTCACAACGTCATTACATCATGACCCCTCCTTTCCTGGATTGGTAGACGTTTTAATGCGTTGGTTATATCAGTCTTACTTATGCTCGACTGCCTGAGTGTGTGGCTTGTATGGCATTGTCTACTTTGGCATGGTGGCAGTAGAACTCTTCAGCATGTATTAGTGAATTGATGCTGGGGTTGTGAGAGGAATAAGGAGCAGAGAAATCTATAATCAATCGTTTTTTATTGGAAGATTTATTGGTAACCACCCCAATAGGATTTGTACGCCAAACAGTCCTATCTTAAAACCTGCCTGGGTTTCTTTGAGTAACAATTTATCCACTGTAGTTGGATCATTGGAAGCTGATAGGAAGTTTGGGCATTCCAAAGTGCCTGAGGTGAGTGCAAGAAGACCTGTGTGAAAACCATAAGAGAACCCTGACACCAAAAAATCCACCAGGTGAGGGGAGGGGTGAGTGCATAGGTGGTAGGCCAGTGCATCGATATTGACCTCCGTTAGTCATTTCTTTGGGAAAAGCTTGGAGGTGCACATGGACTTTGTGTGTGCTCTAAAGCAGATTGAGCATATGTGCAACAGCCTGCATGCACTGTAATTGCATGTGCCGGCATTAAAATTGTTGCACACTTGTACCTTGCCAAGGAATACTATAGGCCTGCCAAGCTTATCCCTTTGCCCTTTGTCTTGACTGTTGGGTTAATAGTGGGGTGGGATGTGGAGGGGTCTGCTTTGCAGGGGCACAAGTTGGTGGAGTTAGGGGTAAGAGTAGGGTTTGGAGTAGGGTTAGGATGAAGGTTAGGATTAGAGTTAGGATTAGATTCCTGTCATCATTCCTTTAAGTTTCCCTCCCTCTTCTGTTTTGCAACTTTTCAGAAATCGGAAGCATTTTGGCATTTCCGAAATTTGACACTTTGGCAATTCGGTTCGGCACGTTGGAAATTCGGCAATTCGCCAATTTGGACATTCGGAAGCATCCGAATGTCCGAATTGCCGAAATTCATCCAAATTTAAATTCGGACCAAAACAAATTGCACATGTCTACTGTACAGGATGGGGACTTCATGCTGCAAAATGTCAGCAGAACAGTTCTGTGTCCAGTTGACTCCAGTCTATTCGGATGTTGAACTGGGCCAGATGTACTGCTGATTTGGCTGACACTGACTTCTTGTAGTCATAAAAAGGTGAAGCCCGCATATTTAAGCCCTAAGTCCACCACCTTGGGCAGATAGAGGTCAAATTCCTCCCGCCTTTGGGGGTATACAGAGCAGATGACATCCATGTATATACCGAAGGCGATGACGAATTCGGGGATAGAACATTTTTTGTTTCATCGTGTGTCTCTAGTTTTGGGAACCACTGAAATATCTCCATAATCAAATGCTCTATTTTCTAGAATGTTCTGCGAAGAGATAAGGAGGGAGACCAGGTTGACGTCTTTGCCATCCAAAAAGTATTTTTTAATAGAAGATGGAACCGAGTGAGCAAGGGAAATTGTGTGTGATGTGGTGGGAGGGGGGTATTGATTTTGCTACCCTGTGTGTTTAGGGTTGCTTGTACTGTAACTGATGGGCCACGTGGGTTGCATGGAGTAGAGATGGCTGTTTCTAGTTTTGACAGTCTTTCATTTAAGGCCTGTAGGGTCGACAGGATAGAAGACAAAGTGTCTTGCGTTTCCCCTGGAGCGGGGCCCCTGTGAACTTCTGCCGGGTCTGAGATCACAGGACTAAGCGGTTAGCAATTTGTAGAGTTCTGCCTTCCTACCCAAAGCCGGGAAAAGGGATACTTCCATGATGTAGCTCTGCCACTAATTTTGGTATGGTCCATGATGTCAGGAACCCGGGGGTAGCTAGAACAAGGAATTCTGTGGGGGGCCCTGGTCTGAAGGGTGTGCTGGGCCTGGTGGGGATATCCTGGATTTGATTCTTGTGACATCCTGTGAAGAAAAAAGCAATGAGTATATTTCTAAAAGCTGACAATATCATCCTTTGTGTAGAACTGGCTTGCTAACTAGTGGCGAAGACCTTAGATAATAGGTGACAGGTGAGGCCCTGCTAGTTGCCAAGTGGCTGTGAGAGGCTCTATCTATGATTTGGACTGGGGAGACTCATGGCCATGAGATGTTGTAGTGGGGTTTTGGTCTCTCTGTGACAGTAAGAGAGCAAAATATGTGTGGTCGTGACTTGTGAGGCACTGACTATAATCCCTGTAGAAGGGTGTTCGAGGCAGCTAACTATGATTTGGGTTGTTGGGCGAAACCTCGGTGGTGAGGTGGGGGGTTGGCCTCACGGAACCTTGTACTGATTTGTACTAGGGCCAGCACATAGCCCTAAAAGTCAGTTCTCTTTCCCTAGTCGGGGCTTGTTTTTGCCTAATTGATCGTAAGTGTGCAGATACGTACCTACGACAAGTGAACATTGGAAAGAGAGTTAAGCAATACGCCTGAGAAGGAGAAAACCATCAATTAGATTTAGGACTTTTTTTTATTAGAAAGCGGGAGTGGGGAAATTAGTGCTTAAAAGAATTTAACTAGAACATACCCTTAATTGATGGGAAGAGACTGTGGTTTAATATAGATTGAAATTATCTGTACTTGTAGGTGCGGAGGACAGCTTTTGAATCTTATTATGCATATTGGTGAAAACACCTACGTGGAGAAGACAGAAAGTGCAACAGAAAGTCAACATCCTGCTAGATGTTGTGGAATCATATAAACGTGTTGCTGTCTGTAATGTAAATGGGGAATGTATGCGTATTGAGGATCTTACGTGGGTCAAAAAAATACTAAAGACAAACCCATATTTGATATGGGCTGAGTGAAAAAAGGCTGAGTGAGGCCTGGTGAGGTTGAGGTAAGCATAATAAGCGTAATAAGCGTAATGTTAAATACTTGAAGACAACAGAGAAATATTCTGTCCAATGGCCTATAATAAAGTTAAAATATAACTTTTAATACATAGGTTAAGAAGCTAGAAAGGAGTCTGGCTCTAATTAAATCACACAGAGTAAAATAAAACCAGAGAGGGGGGGTTAACGAGGGGTAACCCTTAGAGATAAATTGAAGACAAGAGAGAAATATTCTTTCAATTTGATGTTGTGCGATGATAACCATACCCTGTCACCCACTTGGTAAACGTGGTTGGCACCGCGCCGTTTATCCGCATAGAACTTGAAGCAATCAGCCGCAGTTTTGAGAGCGGAATGAACTTTGGTCCAAGTATCACGAATTGAAGAAAGGTGCTCATCCAAAGCAGGGATAGTTGTCTTGGAGAAAACAGCCGGCAGGACAGTAGAATGACGACCGTTATTAACAAAGAACAGAAGAGTCATGGGTAGCATTGTTCCTAGCAAACTTGGCCCAGGGTAGTAATTCGGACCAATTATCTTGAGTGCTATTTACAAAACAACGCAGATATAACTCTAATGACTGATTAGCCCTCTCAGCCATGCCATTAGTTTGGGGATGGTAAGCGGAAGAAAAAGACAATTCAATGCCCAACTGTTTACTGAATGCCCTCCAAAACCGAGACACAAACTGAGAGCCCCTATCAGACACAATACTGTGAGGAATGCCATGCAGTCGGACAATCTTTCTCGATTTCTCAAGGGCTTCACCGTTCCTGTGGAACTTGCTTCCCTCCTCCGTTAGATGCTCACCCAGTCTCCACTCACAAACACATTTCTTCATAAAAGCGTATCAATTAAACTGACTGATTCCTCTTCTGCAACTGTCACTAGTCTAATACTATCCTTACCTTTTTGTGTCATTTTACCCCACTCCCTCTAACATGTAAGCTCATTGAGCAGGGCCCTCAACCCCTCTGTTCCTGTGTGTCCAACTTGTCTGGTTACAACTACATGTCTGTTTGTCCACCCATTGTAAAGCGCTGTGGAATTTGACGGCGCTATATAAATAACATAATAATAATAATAATCTCACGTATAAAGATAAGAACCAGGTCTTGAGAGGATGGCAATTTTTTAAGTGGAATAAAATGAGCCATCTTGGAGAAACGGTCAACCACCATAAGAATGGTGGTATAGCCATTGGAACTTGGAAGTTCAACAATGAAGTCCATTGACAAGTGGGACCATGGAACACTAGGTACAGGAAGTGGTTGCAACAAACCACAAAGACGCGTATGAGGGACCTTAGAAACAGCACAAACTGAACAAGCCTGCACATAGTTCTTCACATCGTTTTTAAGGTGTGACGAAGTGCCCTTCACCACTTGGTCCTGGAGAGGCTTGCTTGCCAGCCTCCTCCCCTGTGACTATGGCCCTTTAAGAATGCTATTTGGGCCTATGGACTTGTATTGGACTGTGTATGGCCCTTTAAGCACATTTTTGGGACATGAGGAAAATTGGGACAATGTCCCTTTAGGACGGTGTCCCTAGACGTGTTTGGGACACTGCCCCTTTAAGCCCCGGTATCCCCAGACTTGGTTAAAGTACTTTATTCATGGCTTATTTACACTTGGTTCAGTAAATAGGGCTTACTGAACCAAGTACCACACAGGCGGACCACCCAGAAGTGGAAGTGTGCAGGAAATTGACCTCCTGGGCTGGGAGCCTGCTGTAGGTAAATTGCCGACCGCTGGGTGGCCACAGTTCGTGCAAACCAAAACGTGGCGGTGACCATCTTTGTTCATTCGAACGAGGTCAGCGGTATGTGTAGCCAAATTCATGGAACTGAAATCGGCTACACATTTCAACCACTGACCCTTACATTCTCCTACACTCCGTTTTCAGTGACTAAGTCTCGTTCGGCAGTTTGAATGTGCCGCTATACTGAGCTAAATGCCATCCAAAGATTTATTGGGTTTGCGAATGGGACTTTTTTTCTGTGTAAAATAGACGGACTGCACAGCCCAAATCTATGGAACTGTTTTGGGCAGGAAAATGTGCTTGCGGTCGGTCATAAAGTACTTCCAGCTAACGTTTTAAGTACTGGACGGATTTGGCTGAATTTTGGTAATTGTTTATTTTTAAAGTATGCTGGTTCTGAAAATGTATGTTTTGTGAAGATTGGATGTAAATTTTTAAAGTTACAGTGTATGTGTAAAAAGTATATTTTTCCTGCCTGTGATAATTACATTAACCCATTGTGTGCAGTAATTATATCACAGACAGAGGGGAGAATTTTGTGGGAGTGAATGGGTGTGGTTTTACTGTATGTTACGTGCTTTATTGGTTATTTTACAAAACCCTGTGGGCGGTACTGTATCTGTAAAACCTGCATAAAAGAAGGCCCTTCGGTGCCAAGTAAAACAGATCTTCTTGACCCTCAATACGTAGTCTTGTCTCGTGATTGGAGGGGACAGCTCTACTCACACTGGGGATTGCTCTGCATACTCCCTTGAGCTTTAATCACTTAGCTCTTTTAAGAGCTTCTTCCTGATACGCTCTCCTGGAGGAGAGGTCTTCCCCACACGGTCCTGGAGGACAGAAGCTGATCCAGGGTGGACAGAAGACGGTGAGATCCATTTAAGCTACGGTGGTTGTGGAGTCTGCAGTGGTTGTGGTGTCCAGTGCGGTGCTTGTGATCCTCGGCGCAAGCTAGGAAGCAGCCATTAATGGAAGGTACTTGGTCAGAGTTACGGGGGGTTCCGTTACATAAGGGAATCCCACCAAAATGATCTCGTGATCGCAGATATGGATTTATTGATACCTGGGTGTCCAGCAGTCATGGAACACCCTCAGCACATTCTTTCTTTCACCTAATGGAACAAACACGTTGTCCAGTGGTTTATTGCATGATGCCTGAGACTGAGCCTCCATTATAGCACCAAGCAAGGGAGAAGACAGTGAAACAACAGTAGAAGCGATGATACATTCAGAAGGCACGATAGGGGATGTCTCGTGTTCCTGTAAAGACTCAGTATCAAACTGTCTAGACAAGGCATCAGCCTTCACATTTTTGGGACCAGGTCTGTAAGTTATAAGGAAGTTAAAGTGAGACAGAAACAAAGACCATCTAGCTTGTCTAGAAGATAGACGTTTAGCATCCCCTTTATAAGCCAAATTCTTATAGTCAGTAATGATCAAAAGGGGATCCTTGGAACCTTCCAAAAGAAGTCGCCACTCTTTCAGCGCTAGGACAATGCCCAACAATTCTCTGTTGCATATATCATAATTGCGCTCAGCGGGAGACAACTTTCTGGAACTTTTCTGGAGTTTCGGAGGCATCGACTTCCAATATGAAGGGTTTGCTGGTGTTAGGGTGTCTCAGTATGTCGGCAGAAGCAAACCTTTGTTTAAGAAGTTCAAAAGCCTATCTAGCTTCCTTAGACCATACCGTACTACTAGCTCCCTTACGTGTCATATTGGTGATGGGGCTATTGCAGAAGAAAACCCCTTGATAAATCTTCTATAATAGTTTGCAAACCCAATAAATCTTTGGATGGCTTTTAGTCTGATAGGTACTGGCCACTGTATAACAGTCTCTAGTTTCTTAGAGTCCATCTGAAAACCAGGGGCAGAAATTTTATACCCAAAAAACTGCACTTCAGTCTGATCAAACAAGCATTTTTCCAATTTACAATAAAGTTTGTTCTCCAGTAAAGTCTGCAATACTTGTTTGACCTGTTTGTGGTAGGTTTGAAGGTCAGGGGAATAAATAAGGATATCATCCAAATAGACCAGGACAAATTAATAGATATAATCCCTCATTAATAAAATCCTGGAATACGGCCGGTGCATTGCATAGCCCAAAAGGCATAACAAGGTTCTCATAGTGCCCGCATCTAGTGTTGAATGCTGGTTTCAACTGGTTTTCCTTGATTCTTACCAAATTGTATGCACTCCTGAGATCCACCCTGGAGTCTATCAAACAATTCGGAAATGAGAGGAATAGGATAGGCATTCTTAACAGTAATCTTATTTAATGCTCTGTGTAGCGGAGCTGCAATATTAAATCCCAAGATCTCCGCTGGTATAGAAGGTAATCCAAAGTAAAGCGCTGGAAAAGAAGGCATTATCCCAAATCCCCCAGTAACCAGACGAAAAAGAGTTCTGGGAGTCAACTGACAATTTTATTCACGGCTGTTAGCCTATGCATGCTCTCTATTCTAAAACACACAAATACATTTTTACACCAGGTTAACACAGCTATTTCAGACAACCTTTAAATGTCCTGCAATATGACCTAAAGTGGCTAGGTTTGCCACACTCTGTAGTCAATGCATGGACGTAATTTTCCATCTTTCTTTTCTACAAAAAAAGAAGCCTGCACCAGCAGGTGAGGATGCTTTCCATATATGGCCCTTGTTTAGTGAGTCTTTGATATATTCTTCCATTATTTTACCCTCCTGTGGCGATAAGGCATATACTGCCCCTTTAGGTGGCATAGCACCGGGTAACAGACTTATGGAGCAGTCATATGAGCTGTGAGGAGGTAAGATATTAGACTGACTCTTACTAAGTACTTCCTTAACCTCCCG